AAGAGTGTTTTCATTTCCAGGGCAGGAAAACCAGCTGGTAGCATTAATTCCATATAGTGATCAGAGACTGAAGCCAAGAAGAACGTAAGTTAATAGTGAGTTGTGATACATGAATCTACAGTTAATTCTTCTCTTCCAGTTAAAATTCAGCACTTTAAAGGAGATAGTGTTGAGAAGACTCAAGCAAAAAATCACTGGAATGTTTTCGTGCATTCAGTATTGAAAGAACTCTGCTCTTGAGTAATATCAGCCTTAACCTCTAACTCTTGGAGAGTTATTTATTAACAGGTGTGCATACTCCCAGCACAGTAATCAAGCTAAGTGATACTGTACGATCTCTCATGTAGCTAATAACAGTAATTATGCAAGTATTTATCAATCTGTAGCTTCTTAATTGATCTAAGCAGATACATCTTCACTGTAAAAGTCTGAGTAAAGCGATAACTTCTTTGGGCCACTAATACAAAATAAGTCACCTAGAAATTCATTTGTAAAGCTCTGAGCAGCTAGCAAAATCAACAAATGCATCATTCTGATATAGCCTATTTAATTTTTTTTTTTTGCTAGGATCTACTTAAAGGTTTTATTACAGTGCTCACGGCTTCTTGTTTTGACACTTTTTGGTTGTGTTTTGTTTTTTTTTTTTTTTTTTTCTTAATGTTTGGACATTTCTGTGGTAAACAGAAATGAGTGCCAGGAAAAAAAAAACACAGTAACTCCAAATAATACTATCTTGGCTCATATATCCAGTGTAATAGTAGTACAAATTGGAAACAAATTACTTCAGTGTTCTAATTTTGAGAAAATTGGAGCTGCATTAGAGCCTTTTATTTGTGTATTTTTTATTATCATAGACACAGACCCCTTTTACTGTGAATTTTCTGTTCCTTAGCAGGAGTCTAACACTTTCCCTGAAAGTTTTATGACAAAGAATCCTGAGTAAAGCATGTAAGAGCTTTATTTTTCTTTCTGTGTGTCTTGTGCAAGAGTCCTGCAGAATAACAAAAGTTCTGCTATAAATAAGTTTTAAGAGGAAGTGTTTATATTTCAAATCACATGAATATTTACCTCTTCCATTTTCCTCTTGAAGTTACAAATGTGGGGATAACCATGTTTTTAAACTTGATTTCTGATGGATATACAAAGGTGTATATATATGTTTGAGACATAGCTGGGAAGTGCAGCATAGCTTTCTTTACCCCCTTTGGAAGCTAGAAATAGACTGAACTAGTTGTATTGACTAGTCATGCTCCCTATCACTTAAAAGAAAATAACGTGCCACTGTTGTTTGAAGTGCGTTTAACTCTGAAATATGTTCTTTTTTTTCCTCCAGAAAGCTCTACGTGACTGCTTCTGTAACTGTCTGTTTACTCCTCTCTGGGCTGGCTGTATTCTTCTTGTTTCCTCGCTCAATCGACGTTGAATACATCGGTGTGAAGTCAGTATATGTCACTTATGAACAGGGTAGACGGATAATATATCTAAATATTACGGTAAGTCTAGTCATGTATTTGGATGTTTGTAATGGATAAATGCAACAAGAGATACTATTGTGACAGTTTAATGCACATAGAAATTGTGATCTAGCTGGTAAGAATCATAGAATCATTAAGGTTGGAA